TGGCCGTTCCCATGGGAATCTCTTGAAATCGCGCCAGGCCATTCGCAAAGCGATCCCGACCGCAGCAAATGCTGAATCAGCCGAAGTCCACCAACTGAGGAACAATGCAATGAACTGACACAGTTGCAGCCATAATGAAGTCCATTGGCGGGTGCCATGATATGAGCATTGAGGATGTGACCTTGCTGGGAGGCCAGAGGCCGCAAATTACCTCAAGGGTGTTGTGCAGTTGCGTGTGCACGTGTGGCATTTGCCCAGCACGAGGACTGTATTTTCCTTCTAGACTTTTTATACGGCTATTTGCCGCAGTTTTGCGGTGGTGGACAACGCGGTCACACAACACATGGTCCACCACGAGTCGCGCATTTGTGATGGAGAAAAGTTGCCAGTTGCGGCCCGCAACTTGCGGGGAACAAAGAATCAACTGAGCGAACAGAGTGATGAAGTGCTGCCTCCTGTTGAAAGTATGTTTAGTGCTCACGCACCCTGGGAGATGCACTGTGGAGGGACTAACACCACTCAACTATCTACAGGCGCTTTCGCCAAAGCTGTTGCAGCCACTCGGAAAACTCTCAAATCCTTGTGTCGAAGAGGTTGCCGACATTCTTGAGCACATTGAAACATTGGAACGCAGCTTGTCTGATGCCAGATCAATGTGATTGGCATCGAAGGCTGCTTTGACAGAGTGCGCCTGCCGTTTAGCAGTTCCCTTGACGGGAATTATGAAGCACGTGAGTGTATGATGGTATTCCGGCATCGGCAAAGGGCTGTCCACAAAGGGGGGTGTTTGCATGGGGCGATCCGGAGACAAGCATCAATAGAAGGCGACACTTTTGCGATGCCAAATGTAATTGCCGGTGCCCTTCGTTGGGCAGCACAGCAGCCGGCTCACTCGCGGATGCCTGGCGGAGGCCGCACGTTCGAGACAGGCCCTCACGGCTAGAGTCAGACGCAGACAGAACCAGAGCATTCGATTAAAGAGGTTGCCCACTTTATATAGGCATGTCCTCGACTGTACCGTTCTTCGAAGGTGGCCCCTTTGACGGCCAACGCCCTCCGCCACGATCTCAGCTATTGCTCTCAGCTGTGCCATACTGGCAGGTTCTGTCACCAATAAAATCCTGTGAACACCCGAAGAACTCCTGGCCCATTCCCACTTCCCAAATCTGCCCCGCGTCCCCCGGCACTGCCTCTAGGCCACCCCACCTGGACCCCTCCACCGGCCGGTGTTCCTAGGGCCCCTACCTCTTAACTGCCCCGCTTCCTCTCACTTCGGTGTCACTACCCGTACCTTCCCTAACTCCCTCACCAGACTCCCACATCCCTTCTCCTATTCAAACATTCCCCTCTAAGGCCTTCCTTTCTCCCTTGACCACACCCTGCGAACACACGTTGACACAAAATGGCGCCATCACAGACATTATGATGGCAGAAAGCACGCGGGATTGTATTACCTAGGGTCGGGGCCAGTGAGCTCGGAGAAGGAGAGCGCTCGGCTTGGCATCGAGGGGTGCCGGGTTCGAGCCTCATTGTCTTCGCTAGTCTCACCGGCTCCTCTTTTCAGTGGTCTCCCACAGAATATTGTATAAGCAAATCTGTTGGCACTGGATAAGTCCGGGAGCGTTTCGCGCTCGAGCAGCTGAGCGAACTTTTCCTGTATGAACATTCTGGCCCTGCGAAGTGCTGTTGCCCGCTATCTTTCTGGCCTCCTCCAAGACGGGTCGGACGACGCCCCTGCTTTGGGCCATTGGCTTTGCACACTGTCTTGTATGGTCACTAAAAGCACTTTTGGGACCGCGGATATTGGCGCGACACCAGCGGGAGGCACCACATCCTGAGAGTCGTTCAGAGCATTCGGGGGACATCATCTGACAGGGGCCTGCCAACATGTTGGGGCACATTGGAGCCATGACTTTCTTTGCCAGCGACGCCGGGTCGCTGGCATGGGGCGTCACCCCCTAGGGCGCCCCGAGGGATGCGATCAAGGCGGCGTCACACGGCTGGCCGTTGGTTCGTTGCAGTCCCCTTGCGCCATTTGTCTGCGTCAGCCGGAGGGTCAGGACGGCGTGCGGGGGGCGGTTCAACAGAATAAGAAATGGCGCCACACCGTGGCGAAGGTCAAGGGCGGCAGGAGTCCCGTTTTGTAATGTTTGCCCAATGCAGATTTTCGCGCGGCGAGAACTATTGTGGGCAAAAAGTTTTGCACTAAAAAGATTCACGCATTGGCGAGTGCACAAACTCTCTTGAGCATGAAGTATGCGAAATTCTTTTCGTGCAAGATCTTTTACTTTTTCAGTGCACCCCGGATACACTACAAAGGCATTGACGGGGCTTTGGGGTTTTTCACCATAGGCATATGAGCTTGAATGGACGCACTAACATAGGTATTGTCGATGAGCGCCAGGCCCTGAAAGGAATAGTCTGCGATGGGGAAAAGGTGCATGGAGTAAAAAGTCGGCGCTCTAGAGGTGAGCACCACGTGGTCGGAGGAGCACACATGGTCGTGCTCAATAGCAGGCGCTCAAAGTAGCTTTAGCCAGGGACCTTTGCCGGGGTAACCTACCCGGCCATTACTGACCCGGCCTAGCCCAGGGCATCGCCCACCCTCCCTGTGCCTGAAGAAGACAAAGAAGACCGCCTCTGGGTCCGATGTGGACAGATTCATCTTGTGTAGTCATGACTACACAAAGGTCGGCCGCCATACCGATCAAGTAGGAGCCGAACGACAGGTTAAACAGTGGGGCACCGCTAGGAGGTCAACCCCAATAGGGCTAGTAGGGCTACTCAGCCCAACTGAGGAGCTGTCAGACATGAGGCATTAGAAAGTCGGGGGGGGGGGGGAATGAAGAGCAAGGACGGCAAATAAAGACAGAAAGGTGAATATGTCGGTCATCAACAGTGCTCAACACGTGGGTTCAAGGGGGACATATTTTGAAAGATTTGTGGACATCCACCCCCCAATGAGGAAAATAAATAAAGAAAATGAAAAAAATCAATCATTTTCAAATAGCGCCACCATTGGCATCACAAACATAGTTCTTTCCAGTGGTGAAGAAAGTGGTGTGTGGGATGCTGATGCATTGAAGGAGTTTGCATCATTGGAAAACCAAGGAAAAATTGGGAGAGAGACTGAGGCATCGCAAGATGTGTCCAACTCACAGGATACATTGGTAGAAAATGGCATGTTTGGGATGCGAATTGTGATGCCATTCTGACACAAAATGTTGCCGTCACAGTGACCTCGATGGCATGAAGTGGCTAGGATGGCATCAATTTGCATCAAATAGCACCGTAGTTGGCATCGCAAGCATGTTGTTTTTCATTAGCGATGCGATCAAACCATGCCTAGACCCACATGGCACCTACATTGTTAGCTAATGGCAACGAGGGCAAAATACGCTCAACTGCACTGCATGATGCTTGAGCGATGTTAGTCATGTATATGGTCTAGATGAAGGCTATAGCCTGAGGCGCTCTGGCTGCGCTCTAAGATGCTCCTGCCCATTGGTTGGCAAGCAGGAGCAAGTTCGGCGATTGGTGCTTGTCGGGGCCAGCTCAGTGGTGCATTACCAGTAGCCCAAACATGATTAAAGTACTATAGCTTTCTTTGGGTGCGACACAGCAACAGGGCGTGCCGCTCCTGTGCACACGGAAGCCGACACGTGAGCGGCTGATGGCAACATAGTTAATGCAATTTTCCATCTTTTTTTTATTTGCAGGAGCCTCGTCAAGTCCTGATTTGCATTGCAATCCTAGCAGACCATATGCACCTAGACATGCAAATTATTGGTGCACTGGATTTCCCAGTATCGATTAGTTGTTATCACAACAATCTGTTGGGCACGAAAGGCACAAGGCCAAAGTATCAAGCACCAACTTAAAAATGAAAGCTCATTGACAGAATGTATCCTAATTTAATATGCCTTAAAGAGCGTTTTGCTCGTTCATTCGCGAATGACTCAATTTGCATGCCCACAACGGTGTTGATTTTGCAAGTGAAAACATATTCCAAGGCAAACAATGTACTTGATCGAATTGCGAAAGGCAGAGCTTTGGATTGGCAGATGTTATTAAACGGGTGGGTATGTGACTGTTCAGAATTGAATGTAGAGCATAAAATATGGGAAATCTGCCCTAGCAGTTGCAGGGCGAAAATTGCCATAAGCATAACCACTGTCTTGACCTTCTTGTTCTTGGCAGCCAAAATTCGTCAGGGATGTTCTGGCAGCAGCGAAAAGAGATGAATAAAAAAATACCTCAACTACTCAACTACTTCAATTATTTCCTCAGTGTGAATCTGCAGACCCATCGGCAACGTGGCATTGCAAGTTTTGGATGCACAGCTGTGGTGAGCCGGCTTGAACAGCCCATCCTCAAATCACGATTCTGGTCAGTTTCAGAAAGCACATGGAAGTTGCCTACTTTTTGACCTGCGTCACATGGATTCAGTGCACTGCCATGGGCATCCTCAATACTTGAAATTCAGACCAGACTTTTTCACAGCTTCCTCCAAACTCACAATTACAAATGATGCGGGTCCTAGGGTGGACCACGCAAAAGTTGCACAAGAGAGACCACTATACTCTTGGAGACTGAAAAAGAGCCACTTACACGGTGTGATTCCTGCACACTCATACCGTACGCACCATGTATATAATCAAGTATGTAATGTACAAGTGATAATATAGAGTAATCACAATGTACTATTGGCCACTGCAAAAGGCACCACCGGTGTAAACAAGTGATTAAATTTCATGGAAATCTGATCAAGACTTGATACAGAAATAAAGATACGAAGTCACACACATGTCAGTCATGCGCCAGTCATCGAGTGACATGACACAAAAACTAACTATGAAGTTAACACAGCACACAGCCAACGCAGATTTTGATTCATACATTACAAATTTAAACTTGAGTCAATGATTGTCAAGTTATGCCACAGCCAGCACCACAACAGCGTCACCGCCACGAATTTTGCTTGGCCTTCCTCTGCAGCCTCACCAACGATCCAAGACCAACCGAATGCTTCCCAGGCCCATACCCACAAGAACATCTCTGGCACCATGAAAGAGGTTGCAGCAACCAGACAAGACCAAACACCTAAGAGAACGCAACTCACTCAAGTGATCCAAACCCGCACTTGTTATGCTGCTCATACGGCTGATGTCCAGATATTCGAGACCTGTCAGCTTGCCAATGTACTTCAAACCTTTATTGGAAACCATGCCGCACTTCTCCAGGCACAGGTACTTGAGGGCCTGCAGCTGTGCTACATGCTTCAAACCCTGGTCTGTGAGCTGGTAGTCATGCCCAAGGTGAAAAGGGTCACCACTATGCAATGGTGACAATTCCAAATGCACAAGTGTCGTCACCTTTGCCAGCCATTCAACACACACATCCGAAACGTACGGGAGAGCGCGCATCTCCAAGTGTTCCAGGCATGTTAGCCCTGTCAAATGCCTCATCTCCTTCCCATCAAGATCTAAGAACAAATGGTTCAGCACCAAATGCCTGAGGCCGACCAAATTTCCAACATGCGCCAAACCCAGTTCCGTGGCCAGTCCTATACTGCACTGCAGATACTCATGTCCACACACTGTAAGGTGGGTGAGGGCAGTGAGATTGCTAATGCGCTCCAGATCTTCATCATCGATAAGACGCTGGCTTATATCCAAGTGTGTCAGTTGGTGTAATTCTTCCAGTGCCCCCAGATCAATACTTTTCGTGCGGTAGTCCAGTTCCTCCTGATCAATTGCTTCCACTTCACAATCTGTGTAGCGTTCGTAAAAGCTTGCATTGTATCGTGACAAGTCAAGACCTTCCACAGCCACAAACTTCCTCTTGATCGTGCCAGCAATCTTCACCAAAGGTACAGCCAAAACATCTCTAATGAAAACACCTTTAATGTCCAAGAATGTGACAGACCCTGTTGCCCACTTGCCCCAATGCTTATTCACCAACCGGGCACTCTTCAACAAGGCAGTGGTGCGGCTACCACTGCAATCAGTCCCTTCCACTGCATGTTTCACGCCCTCCAAAATTGGTAGGGGCAAGTGTCCCCAATCCGCAATTTGCAGCCTTCCATCCTGGGCCAGACACTGCGTTGCTGAGCAACATCTGAAACATGCACAAAACGCCACAATAGCGCTAAAAAGGCCTTGCTGATACCAACAGCATGATTGTATTGAAGTCGATGTTTTGCAGATAATCCACAGACTAACATCGAGGCCTGGAACAATTTCCCGCTGTCAACTTGCCCATGGATGGTGAGAGATTTGCCACATCTTGACAAAGGAGGAACCAGATGTTCAAAGAACTGGCTGCAATCTGTTGTGGTGGTTGCGCCAACAGGCTGTGGCACACTGGCCGATGTGACATTTGAGCTGCTCAACCTGCAGCCGCACATTTATCAGTGTGGCAGTGAATAATGAGAAGTACAGGTTTCCATTGCCACACTACAATGACAGGATGTGTGATGCTGAGTTGGCATTGGTCACAGAAGCAGGATGGTTTCCTCCTCACGTGTGCCTCTTATCCAAAACTGAATACCACCCAATCTGTCCAAGCACCGGGTCGTTCTTCAGCAAATGCTCATTGGACTCAACAAATGTACCACTCAACGTATTTTCACTACTTCCTACTAAACTTTAGCAGAACAGCAAGTGGGGTCTGAAGTGAGTTGAGAAGCAGGTGCAAATCAACAACTCTTACATGGAGTCTTCTGTCAACAGGACCTTTGGATGTTCTGATTCCCAGCTCCTATTTCGGGCCTCTGACAATGCTCTCTGTTTTCTGACCATTCATTTGCCCGTTGGGCACATGAGTCAAATGAGAATATTCCAGGACAAATTCGCTGTCCGTTCGACCGCCGTTTTCTACCTTGAATAATGAACTGGCAATTATCAGAAGCAATTCCAGCACAGGCCATGCAAAATTTCCATCCCGAATGGTGCAAGGTCAAACCACAGTATCATTGTAGGCGTGCGAGGCGTCCATGGGACGTGTGCACTTGTGCTGTACCTCTCACAGCGCCCAACAGTTCTCGAGCACAAAACAGAAAAACACACCGCACAGTACATAACATCCTCGTGAAGCTCCTCCTTCCCATGATGGATACAGAAATTTACACCCAGGACGCGCCTTCAACGATCCAGCAGCCTCGCAACTGAGCTGCTGTGCAACTGAGCATTTCAACACCTCAAAGAACCTCACGATGGTGCTCAGCAATTGTACTGGGCGGGTCCGCCCATCCACCCGACAACCAACGAAACAGGGACGCCCCAGGTCGACCTTGGCGAAGGCCGGGGCACCAAGATGCGGAGCGCCCGCTCGGCGGCATTGCCACCCCCGGGTCCCCTCGAACATGGCTCGCAACCCCAACCTGCCAGCTGCACCACTGCACAATAAACGACGGGGCTAACGCGCGATCTTAGCACCTCAGCAAACCTGGCCATCATTCTCTCTCCCGCGTTACCTGTGGGAACTGTCGCACATCCGTGCCGCGCCTCCTCCGGCCGCCTCCTCGTACCCGCGCCCGTTTGACCATCGGATCTGCCCAGCCACCACCGCGAGACCCACGTGCAGCGGCGCCGCCTGTCGCCGCAGGCCCCCTGCGCTCTCGCCCGCCTCCCTTGGCCCGTCGCCGCAAAATGCGCCGTGGAGTGGCGCGGACACCTTCAAGGGGGGCCCTGCTGTCCGCTGCCTTCAAACCCGGCGAACTCTGCGTGGCGCTACCCTGAGGAGCAGATGCATTGACTTGCTGGGTAAAAATCCTGTGGGTAGATTCTGTACGAATGGACACCCAAAATGAAATGCCAAATCAGCAGAATAACAGAAATAGACGTGGTGCTGGGTCAAAATGGAAGGAAAAGAATGGGTGAACGAATGGAAACACGTGCTTACAGGCAACATGAAAATCGACGCGCTGGTCGTGCCAAGTGTCCCTGCGGAACTCAGATAGTTAGACAGAGCCCAACTGTTGACGGTCTAGAAGAGGAAGGAAATGGAGATACCAATAACTGCAAGAGGACAATACCGTAGAGAAAACACTTCCGCATCAAAAAATTTTACCGTTACGCTTTTTCCTCGGCATTTTCTCATCAGAGCGTTATTCATTTTTAATATTGCTCTGCAAAAGTTGTATTTAATGTTGCTCTGCAAAAGAAGGCCAACCGTGTTTTTTACGCTGCTACGCGGAAGGCGTTAAAAACCTATGGATAGAAGGAAACGGGAAGAAAATGAACTTGGCGACTTGTGCAGTGTCGCAGTCCGACGTTCCCGGGGATGATTGATGGGACGTCCCGTCACGTCGTGTCACATCCAGCTACGCGGCACTGCCGGCCAGAAACCAGATCCCGCGGGTCGGGGTGTCCCCGCCAACGCCTGTCCAGGGTCGCCTTTTCGGAGGCAAGGGAAGGGCGGCCCCTCCATGGCGGACGCACACCCGGCCGACGCGGGCCGCACGCCCAAGGCGCCAACGGCGCGCCGGCGCGGACGGGAAGAAGAGGGCGGGGTGAGGGATTTTGAGATCGGTGGAATTGAAGACGGCTTGTGGGTTGTGCGATTCGCGCCAGGCTGCGTGCTTTCGCGCCACGCTCGGAGGTTTCTTCATTCGTCAACGTATTTTGGCTCGTTGTCGCTGTGAGGAGAGTGGAAGCGAGCTCACACGGGACATCATGGTGAAAGAGAGGGACCTCCCGCGCGCGCGCGTGTGTGTGTTCTGCTTGGTGTTTTGTGCGCGACGCAGCGGCTCTTGGAGCATTCTAAGAGGTCGTTCACGGTGTGGAACGCAGTGGTTCCCTTTCTGGAGAGGGATATGCACGTCTTGTTGCGTGCTTGTTGCAGCGGCAATGAATCCTGCTTGGGGCCGCCCGCTGTTTAGTTTAGTTCAAGGCACGATTTTCGCGCCCCCGCGGCGTCACTGCGCTTTGGGACCGGCTCCCGCCACGTGCGGGACCGCCTCGCCGAACATGCTGCCGGAGGGACGCATCGGCGTGCGCATCGCTTTGCCAGAATTTCTGGATGTGTTACCTGAATATTGATTCGTTCGCTGCATGACACGCTTGTGATTGAAATGCGTTGACCTGCTCTCGTCTCTGGGGGGCCCATATCGTCGTTCTGCTTGTATTGCTGAGCGCTGTTCCTCGTCATCATGCCTGTCAAGGCACTGGGTATCTCGTCCAGCCGCGTCTCACTCTGCGAATGGCAAATGCTGCTTTGCCAAAAGAGACAAAAGTTGTGTGCAATTCGAAACCCCTCGAGGGAAAAAATCTCATACAAGGCCTCTTTCATACGAGGGCGGAATTGAGACCGAGGCATTCTGCGGGCGTGAGTGGCCATCGCACCTGTCCTGCTTCTTTGTGTACCACTATGCGATGCATTGATGCCATGATCGTTGCCATAAAATGGCAGGTGGACCACAGCGCACAGAGGCGACGACTGGAACCAGCGACACCTGTGACGCCAGTGTTGCACAACAGTGGCGCTGGGACCAAGGTCGCGAAGGTGTCACGGGACGCTTTTGAGGCCGGGCTGGAGAGCGTCAAGGATGCCATACGGAGGCAGATTGCATTGGACAAAGAGGCAAGCGCTGACAGCACGGATGGATGTTGAAGAATGGAGCGGTTTTGACTAAACACAAAATGCAACGAATGACAAGCTGGTCATGCACCGTGTCCCTACTGAGCTCTGATGCCCATATGGCTTTGGTTTGTTGGCTTGTTGAGAGAACATCCCAAGCCCCAAATCATCACACGTTATGATGAAAACGAGAATACTGTGCCAGGTACTGGCGTCCTGGCTGGGGACTGGTGTATGATTGCGGGGTGGCTGGGGAAAGTGCAGGGAAAGATTTGTTACACACGGAAAGGAACTGGTCATACAAGTTGTGAGTGTAGAAGGGATGGTGGTGTGGTGGTGCAGTGCCTACGTCCCTAAAGGATGGAACATGTTGAGGATTCTTCTTGGCAGTCGTGGGCGACTTGCAGCTGCCAACACGACCCTTGCTTCATCCATTGCATACCTTTTGACAGGGACTGTCCAGCTCGACAATCCTGTTGGGGGGCAGTGCCAGGGTCAAATGCCTTTCAGGGCAGAGCAGATACAAGAACGATGTGCTAGCTATAAAACACCAAGTGCCCTGTCCTGAGTACCAAGTACTTCTTTGCAAGTACCATAAGGGTTAGGAGCAGCGATGTGGACCCCCATCTGGCCAAAGAGGCCACTTAGTATTGGAGACTGGGTACTTGGTGTTTTGCGGCTGGCACATGGTTCTTGCACTGCTCTGCCCTGAAAGGCATTTGAGCTTGTCACTACCCCCTTGCAGGACGGTCGAGCTAGGCAGGCCCTGTCGAATGGCATGCAGTGGATGATGTGAGGCTTGTGTTGGCAGCTGCAAGCTGATGTGTTGTTTAGCAACTGATAGATCCTGATGGACCCTGAACCCAAACATCGGAAAGCACTGCAAAGTCTGTTTGCCTGCAGCTTCCAGGAAACGTTTTCAGTGTTGGGGTCGGTCGTGAGGAATGAGAACACAATGAACCTGCATCCATTGTTTAATGAAGTTTAAAGGATTGCAACTCCCGCCCTTCTCATTAAATAATGCTCCTGTTAATGCATATCCATCAGGACGAATGAATTTCTGCCCCTGCACCTGCTGGTAGATTTTCTGCCTGTCTTGTTGTGTCACCCAAGGAAATTATTCCCACGTTTTCTGCTGTAAGTACTTGATACAGCCTCAAATCTTGCTCAAGTGAATGACGCTACTGTGTGACTCTTTTGTGGGTAGAATTTTTGCCGTGTTTGGCCTAAAATGGCTGCAAGAACCAGTGATGGCAACCCAGCTGGACCCACGCCTTGGAGGATGTTGGAATGGATTTAGCCGATGCATGTTAGTCACTGCATGTTAATTTCTGCTCATTTTGTGAAGCATTGTTGCCATTGGCTGTGTTCTTTTGTCATAGATCTGCATTTATCTTTGAACTGCTTTGTGTCTTGTGGTTCTATTTGCTCACAGAGCAAACCCAGGATGTTTTATGAGCTTGCTGGACAAGCCGCAACCGCGTTTCCGTGGCACCAATTTCTATGGGCGTACCATCATCGACTGAATGGTGACCTTCTGTGCATCGCTTACCAGTTTGTTCTGATGGACGGCGACAGCTTCATAAATACAGATGCAGATCTTCAGGGCTTGCGCTATCCCGCCGCCCTTCATGCTGTGGTCTTGAGAGACGGGCAAATGGAGCTGCATACAAAGGTAAGGGGGCAGCAATAAATCCGCTCAGTTTTGACCCATTCCAAATTGCTCTGGATCCGAGTGCATTGCATTGCATCCGCACCCACCGGGCTGCTGACAGATTTAGGCATAAGAGAAGAATGGTAGAATTATTGCAGGATAAATACTAAAATCTGTGTCATTGAATCTTCAACACTGTGAATAACAAGCACAGTAGTGAATCAAATGTCATTAAGAAGAAGGCTTTTTCTCAGCACCCAGTCTTCTTCGGCTCCTAGCTGCAGACGATAATGGTAAGTTGCTTTGGCTCAAGGTATGTTGAGGAAGATCATTGAGTCATGCAAGTGGTGAAGCCGCAAACTGGATCTTGCCATCAGTATCATCATCTCTGTCAACATTTCATAGCCATCAATGGGTCAGCTCATAATGAAATTCAGTGATGGAGCATGTTTCAATAATGTTTATTTCTTTGCAGGAGCGGGTCTCTTTTCCCCCCCATCCAAAGACTATGACGATGGCGGGTGACTACGAGTATTTTGCTGCCCAAGGACAGCACCCATTTGCTTTTGCCCTGGCAGAGCTCATCGACAATTCCATTCGAGCCCTGAAGTCCATTTCCTGCAGCTACCCCACGATCAAAATATCTCTAGTTGTGGACCCTGTGCAGGACATTGGTCTCATCTGCGTCCGTGACAATGGTTGTGGGATGACCAAGAATGAGCTCAAGGATTGGGCGGTCATGAATCTGTCGATGGAAGACAAGGGCCTGCAAGCAGGGGCAGGTGTTGAGATGGGGACGCAGCGGGGGGAGCAGGGAGGTGGTGTGACGCAGTTCATGACGGGAAACCTGTCGCATTTTGGGGTATGCAGTCATGCTTTCTCTTCTTTCCATTTTGTTTCGATGTAATTTTATGGGAGTTGGTGTGTGATATCATTTTTGTGATTTCGTGCAAACATGCCATCACTGTTTTCGTCTTTTTCCCGTGAAACCAACGTCATTCTTTTGTACATTTTGTGTCTTTCTTGTGTGCTTGTGGCCACATTCTTTCTTGCATTCCTGCTACACCTCTTGCCTTGTGAATGGACAAACCATCATGCCGTTGTTAGAAATTTCAGTGCAAGAGTACCCAACCAGCTCAATCATCAGCTTGGACCAACTTTGACTCCCTTCAGTGCCAATGGCTGTTTGTCTGCAGTTGCAAGCTCAACCTGATCCAGTTTCTGGTTGTGGTATGATTCATAAGGACTGAATTGAAGTTAGTGCATGTTTCCAAGATAAATCTAAGCTCAAAATTCAGCTTGGAAATTGAGTTGAGTTTATCTGAATTGCCAAGTTTGAACTTGACTTTGGGTTCACAGATAACGATTGTTGTCTGTCATCGCTTTGTTATTTTGCTCAAGAGCACCAATCGATTGTGTGCACCATCTGCAGGTGGGCTCAAAAAATGCGGCCTTCTTCCTGGGCCACACCATCAAGGTTGTCACTAAGCAGCCCAATAGCCGCATCGTCCATGAGCTGACGATCGATGGTGAAGCCCTCGAGGCCCGGTACCGAAACAACGAGCCTGTCTACGAGAGCGACATGGTGCACCGCGAGCCTGGCGATGACTCAACGCTGCTGCCAGGCTCAGAGGACAGGCTGGAGCCCTGCAGGCAATGGGTAACCGAGGAGGTGCTGCAGGGAAGCCGAGGGGAAGTGTGTGGAAATGGGGAGAAGCTGCAGGGAGACAAGGGGAAGCATGGGGGAAAGGGAGACCTGGGTGGCAGCTTCACCCGAGTTGTGGTAACAAATTTGAAAGATGAAGCTAAAGACCTCTTGTTGGACGAGGGTTGGTGTGGGCGCATGTGCCACACTCTGGCACACATGTATCACTATTACATCCACGGAGACAGGGACAGTGCCAACAAGGTAGGAATGGTGGATTATTTTAAATATACTGGAACGCTACAGTTTAAAATATTGAATATAAAACAACAGCAGTTGATGGCCACAGTTAGTTTGTTTTCCCTTCGAACTAAATAGTGTTCAGTACTGATTTTGTTTCGAGGATCCTGCAAAAACAAATGCATTAGCAAGGATGTAGTGGTGCCTTGCCTCATTCTTCCTTTTTCAAATTGTGCTGTGGCAATTTCAAGATTTCCATTATGCTGTTCATATCTGTTCTGCATCTTTATTGCTTGTGCCTACCAATCCAGCACAACCTTGGGAGCAACTTCCGAACATCCTCTTTTCATAAATAATCTATGCACACCCTTTGGGCTCCTTCTATACTTAAATATTCATCCATCGCTAAGTGCTGGTTGGTGGGGCTGGTTCCCATGAGCTGCAAAATGACAGAATGTGAATGCACTGATTGCGGTGCAGCAGTTTTCAAGTTTCACCACTGCCACTGGCAAGACCCACACAGGCATGCCTGCCTCTAGCTTGCTGCCTTCTTGCTTCAAACTGTGCATTGTTTGCCTAGTTTTATCATCTGTGCTTTCCAATGCTCGTTTTCAAACATTTTTGCTCAAACATGTATGAACCCTGTTGAATTCAGCTGAATTGATGTACCTGGCAGTCCGCTAGAAGCAAAACAAGGTCCAGCCTTGCACTGCATCGTCGTCCCAGCTATGTCTCAAACACAAAAATTCGTGGGTGGGCATGTGCTGCCACCTCAACCTTATTTTGCCTCACCGCACCAACGATCCAAGACAGGTGCTTGTGCCCATGGGGTGTCCCAACCACATCTGATGTGGTCAGACCTTCATACAGCATGATGCATGTTGACTGCTGCCTTCCGTTTCCCCGCCTTTCTGCGCCTGGCTGCATGAAATTCGTAGGAGTGAATATAGCGATAAACATAAGCATAAACATAGTATGATGATCATTCCTAACTCATTAGTGTGCCTGTCATCGCTGCGACGCTTGTGCTTCCGCAGGGAACATGGCAATGAAATGAAAAGCGATGCACCGCAATGCAGAGGAGTGGCTGTTGCATCGTAGTTCCCCATTTTAAAGTGCCATATCTGTTGATCGCTCATGTTTTGTCAAGCTTTTCTTTTAAATTTTTATGTATTGGATTGAGTGTACCAACGTGCTCAGTTTGTTCAATGGTTTTCATTGTTGTTTTCGTAATTGTGTCTGTTGATTTAGTTTATTTAGTTGATACATCTCTTGTGTTCCTTTTGCCTAGGTCACCATGGCCAGACACCCGCATATCAAGGTTGAATACATCCGAGGAGGACAAACTATCCAGACATGGCCTCTTGCAGAATTAGAGGACATGGAAACCAAGTATCTCAAAAACATGAAGAGCAGCATCGAATTCAAGCTGCATGTGCCAGACAGAGGTGCGTGTGTGCCGCATTGTAGCAAGAACGGACATGCAGACCAATTGGTGGCAGAATAGAGATAAATGATGTTGATGATGTTAATGATGATGGCAGTGATGAATGAATTGTAGTTGGTAATAGGTGAATGCAATCAGTATGTGCTTGTTGACCAGTGTGGTGGCATTCCCTGTGATAGTGGTTATGCACATAGGTATGTGCTTTGAATGTAAGACAAACACAGCAAGGTACACATTGATTTGTTCTCTGCCGATGCTTACCAGAATGTGAGACAGCCATGGCAGTGAATTCTGACTTTGCAGATAGTGTGGCTCGTTGTGAAGTGACAACATGCAATGAATGAACAAATACAAGCATGTTCAAGTACACGATTGAATCGAGTCGATGCCCCATTGTTCATGGTTATTACTCTGTTCTTAGGGCTGGCGATCGTGCGCATGTGGTATTTTCCCTTTTGCCGGGAAGCGATCCAATCCTGAATGCCCTCTTCGTGCCGGCACTGAAGCTCAAGACCCTGGGACCCAGCTGTCCTTCAGAGAGTCAGTAGTTGAGGAAGGCAGCCTGGGTGAAGGTGGGCCCTGGAACACCTCTGCTGGTACTCATCAAAAGTGCGTGTGTGTGTGTGTGTGTGTGGCCGGGGGGGGGGGGAGCATCCGGACTGCAAATGTGTTGTTTACGTGAAACATGTTTTTGGAACATTTCTTGTCAGAGTCTCGTTTGGATGTTGGGAAAACGCTCTGTTAGAGTATCATATGTTTCGAAATATTTGTGCGTTTTGAGATAAGGCTGCAGCAACAAATGGCGGACAGCAGCACCCAAGTGTAAACTACCCTGGCCTGCATGGCTGACGGTCAGAAATGCGCCAACACAGACTGCCCGGCGCCTCAGGCCCCCCAGAGGCCCATGTTCGAGGCCTTCTGGCAGTGCCGCCTCATCCCGGCTGCCGGCCTGGACACGCTCCCCTTCATCGACAGGGTGCGCATGAAACGAGGTGCCAGAGAAAAGGAGAAGCTCCCAGACGAGGTGTTCAACAGGGTGCGTGGCGCTCTGTTCTTTGGGCCACTTTTCAAAGTAACGAGGAACAAGCTGATGTTCAGGTGCGCTCACGCTGGTCGTTTGGTGTTCCAGAAACTGCATACATTGGCAGTCCCTAGTCATGGCATCTGTTGCTGTTTTTCTATGTTTTGATTTTGCTGATTTTGTTGAATTACCAATGCAAGTTAGGTTGTTTCAAATGGCTGAATCTGCAAAAGTCTTGGTAAATTGCGCCACATTATAAACGCAACTTCAAGGAGATGATGAGCATGATTTTGTTGACAGTTTTTTGCCAGGATGTTTTCGTGTCTACTTGGTCAGAGAATTTTGCTTGGGTTTTATGCACTGCTGTGGTAGCGATGGTAAAGGACTAACTTGCAATTTGGCAGGGGTGTGGTGTGGGGTGTGCGTGTGTCGTGGGAATTGAGGAACATGGATTGTTCATGCTCATTATCCATCTAAATATCGTGGAAATGGATGAAATTGAGACAATACGGGAATGTGTCCTCATGGAACAGTGAAAGAATTGGAAACAGATGAAAGAATTGGATCATAAGATGGAATATTTTGTGTCCAGGGATAACCTGAGACAGCTCCTGGACAAGGCAACGTCAATCGATCGCAACATCGACAAGAAGTTTCAGAATTGGCTGGTGGAGTGCCACAAGGAGCTAGACAAGCCAATAATGTTTTCAAAGCTCCAGAATGCACAGGACCAGGCAAGTGGATAGCCACGGAGATCGACTTACTGAATATCGAATGTTGTTGTTTGGAAGCATTGCTACTGTAATTTTGAGTGGCAGCTGGGCACATTGGCCCCAAAACAACCATATGTGCAATTTTCCGAATTTCGGGATACTGAAATATCCATGGAGTTGCAAATGTTTTGGAGATATCTGGATACCCGAATATTGATCGTGCAATCCAATTGTCAAGTTCCGTGAACTCCTATCCCAGGCTTGTTATTCATGCGTATATTTATGTTTCTGGTTTTCGTTTAGGTTTTTGTGCATAAAGAGGTAAAGTTGCAAAAGGGGCTATTTTATGGCTGTATTTGCGTTTTTTGGACACCAGGCTACGCAATGAAAATCGCATACAATGATCAGTCCTCGCCCCCCACCACCCACCCTCAGCATATAGAACATAGCGTCCATCACGGCACTCGGCAAGACAACGACTTGTAAAACCAAAATTCGTTTTCTGCCCACCCCAGCACATCTGGCTTCCACTCCCCGAACTCCGCAAGTATGTACTGTCTTTATGTGCACAGGATTGTCTTTACGTTGTATTTGCATATTTGTATGTCTTTTTACGTGTACAAACGTAAACACTATTTTCAAACGTAACTTTGCAATGCGATCAGTTGCTACAGCCAGCATAACTAACGAGCCTGCCTACCAATGCCATGAATGGACTGGTGACATCAATTCAGGCAATTTTGTCACCTGCTTTGCACCTCAGCACAGCCAGTGGTAGTGAAGGTAATGGTAAAACCTATACATTTGCCACATTGAAACAGCAGCGGCTGTGTCCCCCAGAGCATAATTGGCCTCGACTTTGACTGTAGAAAATGTGAAACGTTCTGATGTGTCCCAACAACTATTGTGCAGATGATGGCCAGTGCTTCTCTGCTTTGGCAATGGTATGCAGCCAGTTGTCTCTGCGTGTCTCTCAACTGTATGAGGATCCGTTCATGCTACTTTTGTCAGCGACAACTGGCTGTGCTGGTGCTGGCGTTTGATTGTTTGGGTAGTGGCATGCCTGTAGTCGCCAAAGCTATTTGCGCATTGAGTTCTGACTGGGCATTCAAACCTCAAATAGATAACAGGCTTGGTGTTTACTTGAATAACATGCCTGGTAGATGATATGGCACAGCTGTGACTAGTTCATTGGCACCCATTGTGGACATGCTTTTGGGTAATGTGAGTACAAGACTTGCACAATACTTTAATTAGTTTTGTTTGTAGCTCATTTATGGTTTTGTGTCAAATCTGATTACAAATGGGTAACTACTTTTCATAGGTGAAGTGAAATATTCTTAACTGATTCAGAAGTATGTTATGGAATGGTTAGTTCTCAATCTTAGTTGATTAACACGCACTTTGCCTGACAGGGTGCTCAGTTGGCCGCAGATGTATTGGGGGCAGTTGTTTGGATTTATAGTGCAGAATGCTCTCACCAGCCATCTGCTGCCAGCTTTCGGCATTGTTATCAGAATTGATAAAAGTGACTGTGACTTTGTGATGGTGACAGAATGATAATACAGATGCAGAGAACGGCCATTTGCTGACCAGTCCTCATGCATTCAGGATGCTGCCAGGAAAGAACTTGAGACGGAAAACATTACTTCTTTTGAGCGGATCTCCGATGGCCATCGTACTGTTAAGAAGGGAGACATTGTCAGGATGAATTCCATGAGGCACCACATTGGCAGGGTTAATTTCTTCTACATCGAGCAGGTGTGGGATGGCACGAGTCAATTGTGCACTACAGAAATGCAAGAAACAGCGCACTAGGCAAATGGTGTAACTCTAGTTTGTG